GCTCACTCTCCGCAAAACGTAAAACTGAAAATCCGCCGCGTTATTCGCGACGTGACTGCAACATTTTCCGAAGCCGCGAGCGCGTCTCTGTTTTTATTGCGACGTGAGGTCATTGTGTGCGTGCGTATGTGTGCGTATATTTGTGGGTATCGGTGTGTGTGTGGTCGAACGCAGCGGCGAACACATCAACGTTGCATACGCGCGTATATTTTTATGCCGCACAAATTTATATTACGGACCGGCGAGAATATCGGCGCGAGTCTCACGTATTAATAGGTCGCTCAAGAACGTTGGCACAGCGCGGGCGAGCGCGAAGTGAAAAACATCAAGGTAAGGAGAGTCGAGTTCTGCGTCTCGATCTCGCGCGAACGACTAATTTTATTCGCCTCGCTCGCGCGAAATTTCTCCCCAACCACCATCCACCTTAGGCATTTCCGCCGGTATGGAACGCGCCATTATCTCGGGACTTCGAAGCTCGTCATTCTCGTTTCTACTAAATTCCATCGTCGAACCGGCGAACCCCGGGGAGAAGACGGTAAGGAGAGAAATGGCGCAGGAGCGAGGAGAGGACTAGCTGTTTCTTAATTTTGCCGAATGCCGCGTCGTTCTTGTTCGTTAAGCGAGACTGCGGAGCGGCGTTCGTCGGGATTCCACGGCGTCGTCGTCGGAATTTTTTCGTCGAATCCCGGGCAATCGCAGCACGGCCGACATAAAGCTCCGCGAAATGACCCATAAAATTGAACATTTCCCCGATATAAGTACGCGCATTCAGGTGCGGTCGCATCCAGCCGGATGCACGCGCGCTTTCACCGACGCGGGGCCGCCGGAGGAAAGGGATTCTCGCGAGGAGGGGGAGCGAAAGGGTGGTGAGAGGAGCTAGTTGGGGTGGGACGCCGCTCTCTCGGTGGAGACGACGCGCATCGAGCGCGTATACGATCCCGGGGAACAATTTTAACGCAAATGAGAAATTCTCTCTCTGTCGTACGATAAACAATCGAGATAAAGGATTTATGGTCGCGCGGGAAACAGCCGCCATAAAAGTCTCGGGCTGTTTCCAATCTGTCAACTCGGTGCCACGGAGACGGACGAACGGACGACCATCCAACCGACCGACCGACCATCCCTTGCATCCCTTCGTCCTTCGACGCGCCATCCTCGCCTATCGCGGGGATATCGATGGAGTGTATCTACGCGCATACACGTACGTTACATTTACTCGTGGTGTTCGCCAGCAATCACGGTATTGGATGTTTTCCACACCGGGACACGCCGTCGTTACGCCCGCGAATACGTTACACCGGTCGTCCCGTAGTCTCATTTTCAAAATCGTCGCAACCGTTCCCGCGAAATCGCTCGAACTGTATTATGCGTCAGAAATATACGCTCACGCATATGCACACGCATACACGCGCGCGTGCTATATCTCGTGGAAAAATATCGAATTATTCGGGAGAAGAGTGAGATGGAGCGAATGCCATCCCGGACAGAAATGAATCGGTGTTTGCCCTAAATCTGTAGTGGCCCCTAGATAGGCATGCTCCAAAATAGGCCTGCCTTCATTGGATCTAGATATGACCTGGATAAGGCGGATCCTGAATAGAATTTCGCCAATAGGCCCAGAATAGGTACCGATGTGAGTGCCTCTAACAAGGCCTATAGCTCATAGGACCCAGTCAGGGTCTATAGAATCGGTCCTAAATTGTACGAGCGTTACATTTCTGGGTGAAGTCTAAATAGAAGCGGGGAAAAATTGTGTCGAAATTGCGTAGGACCTCCATGTGAAATTTCTACCCGAAACTCTCGCCCTGAAATTTTAATTGGTAAAGATATTTCCCCCTTCTCGATATTTCCAAGGTGCAAAACCTGCAACTACGATTTCGAGTTTGCGGTAGATGCTCCGTTCTAAATATTAAGGGTGACATTCGCGCTCTCGAGGAGGATGTCAGACGCGCGCGGGACCGAGTTTGGGCAAGATTCGGGACTCTGTCGAATTCCCACAGGACGAATTAAGGCACGCGGCTCTCTCGCGCGTATTAACGGCGGAAATGGCGTGCGCGTTAATGGACGCTTAAATTATGCATTCGCCCCTCGCACTCTCTCGACCGACGTTTCTCTCTCTCCCTCCCTCTATCGCTCTCTCTCTCTCTCCCCCTCTCTCTCTCGCAGTCGTCTAATTAGTTATTTATACATTCCAAGCGGGCGTGAGTTAGTGTCAATGATTAAGAAGGCACCGGGCGGAAGGCGGAAGTTTCGCGCCGAGTATTTAACTTTGAGCGAGAGTGAATTGTGTCTAGGGAGCGGTCGACATCAGGGGGTTGGCGGGAGGACGGGCGGTAGATAGGGGACGATGAAGAAATCGGAAGCGCGCGAGCGACAGAAGAAGCGGAGTCCCGTCGCGATGTTGTACACGGGCATTCAGTGGGGAATAGTTTCTCGCGTTTATGCGAATTTAAAGGATCCTCCCTTAAGACTGGCCTCCCGCGAGGACGTCGGAAGTACGCAGTCTGGAAATTTCAACGGTCTACCCGTCGCCGACTTGAGACTTTATAATGTCGGTTTAATTGTATCTCGCTGACAGATTGTTGGATAATTAGTCGCTTGTCGTTCAGCGATGGGAGACTCGTTAAAATACGATTATCGCGCTTGCGTGACGTGATGGATTAAGAATCGTCTCTTGGTCTCTAGCCGGTGTTCCCACGATATACCTCCAAGTATTGCGAAAAATCGAAAATACGTGAAACTCGTATCGGTGCGCGTCCGCGAAGGCGACCGGTATCGCGGTAGTTGCGCGGTTATAAGTATTAAGCATCGAGCGTCCACGATCCCCCTCCTTCCTCCGAGAAAGTTACAGAAGGTTCATCGAACTGAAATTACACGCTGCGACATGTCGGCGATGTGGTTTCTGCCATTGGAAACGGCGATGTTACTAAATTGATACGAACGGTTCGCCACGAATCGAGCGAAGATTAGCGTTCGTAATTCTCAATCTTCGAGACAACTTGTGCAAAAATGCAGACAATATGGAAACGCGCTCGCTCACAAACGTGCTTTCCATTTTCATACTTTTTCCTCTCTCGATTCTTCTCGCGTTTTCATTTTTCCTCGAAAGACGAAAGTGAGATATACGACCAGGCATCGCTGATGTGACGGTAGAATAAGGAGTGCATTTCAAGTGTGAGATAAGTATCACCTGACACACCGTCAAAAACTGACGAGCGTTTCAGGAACAACGAGAGATATCTCCATCTCATCGTTGTGAAACCGGCGGAAAAATTCTCGGGAAGAAGAAGAAAATCCGTAACGTTATCTTATAATTGTATCCGACGTTGTGCGATAAATCATGCGCGGATAAAAGGGTTTGCATCGATGAAACATCGCTTAATTTGGTCACGCTCCGAGAAGGAAGGAATCGCGATGTCGTTATTAACGTTAAGAGATTTCTCCTCGTAACACGATCGCGCACATGCTCCTCGAGGCGCTATATTTTCACACAGGGTCTACGCTCACTAATGAATCTCTCCGCCGTCGTATATGCACGCGGAGCACATCTCATCTATCGTCGTGGTTTCCATCTCGCCGTCACTAAAATAGAAAGAGAGAACGAATACAAAAACTACAAGGAGAAAATGGGCGCACGTATCACGTGCGTAGCCGCAATTCCGCTGAGATCATGGACCGCGCGCAGGAGTCAGCCTCATCATTAAAAGGTAAGGTAGAGAGGGGGACCGAAGAAAAATAGAAGAACGCGATACCCTTTTCGGGCACCTGTTTGGCATGCCTCTCGCGCCCTCGCTCACCCCACTGCACCTTCTTTTTTCCTATCCCTATTTCTCTTTCTCGTCTACTTCTCACCCCACCGTCGTCGGCGCTCCCTCTCGCCACGCGCTCTCCCAACGCTATCGCTCCATCTCGTTTTTCTCGTCGGATTCGCAAAGTGCGGTGTTCCGTCCTCGTAGCGGTCTTTCCGCCCTTCCGCGTCCGGTCCGAGGGAGCTGAAACCGGCGAAATTAAGAAACCGCGTCACGCAGCACCGCCCATTACCGCGAGGTAAACATACGACTCGCGTACACGCGCGGAATATCACGCAGGCGATTTTAAAAAAAGCGCCAGTTGCCGGTTGCCCTGCGAAACGGCTTTAATCCCATCATCAGATTCCCCCCCGTTAATCGCGTCTGCTTTTTCGACGTCCTGTAAGCGTCGTGTCTTGATCGAATTCCTGAGCAGCCGATAATTTTTATGCTTCGACAAGAAGGAGAGAAGACGACGGCGAAACAACGACTGCGTGAAAAACGAGGGAAAATTAAAGAACGTATTTCCGAGTCGGCGAGCAATCAAAGTTGGCTGATAATATCGTGTTGATAGTTACCCGGGGAAAAAAGATTATACATATAATCATGTAAAATTATACGTAATTATATATAATCATATGTAATTTATATACGTCCGCACGGAATAAAAACACTGTTGAATGAAAAGCGGAAGAAATATTTTGATTGAATTAATAATTATATTTTGATCGAATTGATTGTATTTACATCGTGGTTAGCCATAAACATAAGCATTTACTTCAATTGCATTGTATAACAAAATTTTTTAGATGTAGGACATATATAATTACATATGATTATATATGGTCATATATACACAAAATTTATACACAATCATTTTTCCCTGAACAGTCAAATTTATGCCGCTTAAAATGAATGATTAAACTTAATATTTGTTTGAGGAATAAAGCTCGTATTAGAATTCTCGATTATACCTGAGCTCTATGAGGAATATGCCATTATAAAATGTTATACAACATTTTTCTGATAAGCCCGCGCAAGCGCATTGCAATCCTACTTACGTGTTGTTAATGTTAAGAAATGTATAATCGACTGAGATTTGGCGGGAGTTAGTAGAGTAGTTCTCGCTAGGCACGCTACCAACCGAGATGGCGCTGGCGGTTTCCACAACGCCGAGAGGCAACGAAGGACGAGTCCATTTTGAGGCGGCCATTGACCTGTATCGAGCGGGATTGCACAGGCATCAGCCGGAAAATACAAGTATTTTACGTGTAAAGCGTGCAGTCCTTCGTCGGATTTACGGTAAGTTTCTTGCGTTAATCGTTAAATCAAAACAGCAATCATAATTATGAATTCTCTGGATCTTTCGATAATCAGCGGTACGAGGCACGGAAGTGCAATCAATGCTATCTCGAGAGACATATTGAGAAAATCTGAATCGTATGATACAGCACATAATACTGATACATCGTAACGTTGCGGGAGTGTTGAAGAATGTAAACAAACGGCTCGCTCAAGCGTGACCAGGTTCGCCAAAAGTCACTTTGCCGCGTAAACAAAAACATGAATGTTGTGTCTCAATAGACTGTGTGTGTCGTTGAGACGATCACGTCGTAACATGTCGCACGCTAACTCCAAAATTTTCCAAATTGATCGGAGCGATTTAAGGCATGTTACGATGTTTCGCGCGTATGATAATCGTGCCGAGACTGTCGTGAGACATCACGAGAAGATTTTAAGAAGTACCATACTTTGTTTCTCCGCTAACTTTAATACAGAAATATATAATGAAGATGTATATTCTTGATATAACTCGGTATTTCAATACCTCCATACTTTTGATTCGTCAACAATCCCCCTGTCGATATAACTATCTAGAAATATATCTTACAGATCTCGCGCGGAGCTTATTGCTACGAAGCAGATGCGATATCACGGGATACGCAATTTCGGTGGATGCGGAAGTCGCACCGGAGGATCCGGTTCAGGCCGAATAGGGTCGGCTCGAAGGTAAATTTACAGACTTCCTGTATTTTTTTTCGTTTCACTCTGCGATCAAAAACTGACACTTGGTTGTTAAAATGAAATCATTTTGAGTTATGACTGCGAAGTGTTAGCGTATTTATACTACGCTCATTTTTTTCGTTACGCTGCGTCTGTAGATCTAACTAATAATAAACCTACATTTTTGTGTTCCAGATATGGATCTTGTAGAATGTGGCGAGCTCTGAGTTTCTGATATTTTGGTGAGTTGAAAACATGAATATAAAAGTTGAAAAGTGACGGATATATGTATTTGAGGTGATAAGTGTTTATGAACTCTCGTGAAGATCAATGCAACTTACATTTTGCTCGTAGAATTTTGCATATTGAATTTTATTGTTGAAAAAAAAATACTGCTCGAAACAATCAGAAGATTATTTCTTTAAATGCTTATATATTATTTAATATATATTTAAAACATCGAAATTTCTCTCTTTTGTTAAATATAATTATTTTCAATTTGTAATAAGCAAATTTATGTGAATGTTTTAGCTGTTATCAAATTTAATTCGATATATGATTATTAAACAGAATTATCCATTCAGGCTGATCCTCTAATTGTTTCAAGCATTCTATAATGCACATCAGATTTGCGCCACCACATACGGGACTCGGAATGATTACTTTGCTCCCACTGACAGATTTTGCGATCATCGCGGTCATTGATTTTCTATATTCTTCATTCGCATGTTTACATTGCGATTATGTCTTGTAAACAGATATACTTTGGCCAATTAAATTCAATATCGAGGCAATCATTGATAGAAAGAGGCACACAGTTATTTAGTTATTATTTCCACTTACTTTCTTGCGAAATACTTTAAACGCATTGATCGTTCGTGATCGTTACGATGTTTATTTTTATTTTTTTTATATTCTGTCTGAAATATAACACTGTACGATACAGTACGAAAAAACAATTCGGGAATGTGAAATTGAAAATCCGGTATTCACGAGTGTGTTCGAAATACTGGAATTTATTGTACTTTTCTAAATCGAAATTTAGAATCGACCATAAATATCGGAAGTATTGTAGACTTATGTCAATAATAATACTGCTTGTGCTACAAGTTTCATTTTGAATTTGCCAACGCAAATTCTTTTTCTCCTATTATGTGAGTCATATTATAATATTGAATTTAAATTTAAATCTTCCTATTGGCGTTTTTGTAAAATATAAGTGGACCTTGTGAGTTCTTATACCGATTTATTTTTCATTCCTTTGGAATCTCTAAATCTTGTCGGAATTTTCGACGCCAGTAAAATCAATAATAAGAAGTAATACAAAAATCGAACCTCCATTACAATTACATAGATTCATTTTTATCAAATTATTTAATATTTGCTTGTCACATGTAATCTATCTGCACTTAAAAAAATTATATAATTTAGTAGTATTATATTGGTTATTAATATTAAGAAGACTAATCGTAAAGATTAATCGCAGGTAGAATATTGAGATGATCGAATATTAAATAAATAATTTCGAATCCGTCAATTTGCTTTCGTCAAGATAATCGCGGTCGCGAGTGCACTGAAATGAATGAAACTAGTGAAGTACAATCGACGTGAAACAACAGCTGGATCCAACGGAAGGGCAGAAAGATGCTGGACGGATGCGGTTTTGGATGAAGAATTTCGTCGGTGGACTTCAACGTGAAATGGTGAACGTACAATTCCAATGTTTACAGTGCATTTAATCTTATAGTGCATGTGTTACGTTCTAAAGAAGGAATACAGTGACTATTCTCGCACTCTCGAGTCCTGCACATATTTGCCTGTTTATGAAACAGATCATAGACCGGAAGGTTCATCTTACTCTGTCGTGAATTACGTAAGGTGGTTCGTAATTTACGCGATCCGAATGTTATAAATTCCTTTCTTTACAGATTCGCCAGATTTTTTTATAATGATTTATGGCTATTATTATTAATATTCGCGGAATTCCCGGGACCTAACACATGCTTTATTGTAAGTTGCATTGATTTTTTCAACGAGAAACGCAAGAGCAGTATATGACTCCGAAAAAAATTCTTAATTATTTTATAATCATATCTATATAAGCTGTAATTGAGGTGCGTGTGGGTCTCTATTCAAATATTGTTGTATACTTCGCGTAAATACGAAGTCGAACGCGGTATCGTATATATACTCTATAATCTCAAATCCGAATAATGGATATGTACTAATAATCCGATGTTAATTAATTAATTAAAAGCGAGAGCGAGAGCTTATATGCAGGCAGCATGAAATATAAGTTCCGCAATAGAGATGAGATAATTGCGAAGCTAATATGCTGCATTTGCTTTAAATTGTTTTACACTTATCTCTTATGCAGTCGGTTAAATGAATCCACAATTCAAGAATGTCATAAGAATGTTAATGAACAATTTGGCGCTTAAATAGCTATAAGCTTTGCCATATAAACATGGCAGATTTATGATCCTATTTTATATTGTGTTTATGATTCTCATATGTCAAACTCTTTTATTCCGTCGATTCGTTCACAGTCACGAATTACAGTCTTTTCGAGTTTCGGCGCATTCGGTATTAACGAAGCGTTATCTTGCTCACTTCGATAAACCGTTTTATGCTGATCTCTTATAATCGATAAAACGCATTATTCCACAACTGAAGAGTATTATAAAAATATCAATATAAACAAAGTTTAGCGCTTAAATATATAGAAAAAAATTGGTCTTATAAATCAAGAATAGAGATTCTCATACATAAACAACAATATTATAATTTTAGAAGATTTTTAGTCTTGAATTAAGTTCAAGTAATATTTACATCAATACAAATTAAATAAAATCAAGACTAAAAATCTTCTAAAAAGATAATAACATTTTTATTTACATATGAGAATATCTATTCTTCATTTAAGACTAACTCTTTTCCTATGTAACTAACTTTATCCTATAAACGTGATAACTTTATGTGATCCTCCGTTATATACCGTATTTAATGCCTCCCATTCGTCAAAATCTTTTATTTCCTCAACTCGCTCACGAGTTATGTACAATCCTTTCGAGTTTCGGTACGTTTGGTTTTAATGAAACGATGACACCCTATAAACTTTGCGTGCATTTGCGAGGTCAACGACCGCGTGGTCCAGCGGCCAGCTGACCTAGCACGAGAGTAGGAAATAGTCCGCATTTCATCCGCGTTAAGTAAACTTTACGTTACTTACGTTACTTTCACGTAACTTTGTATTACGAGAAAGCAACACTGTTGAAACGCGCCCTGCGCCCCTGCACTTCTATATGTAACGTAACTCGGTGGCAATTGATATATTTCACTTCGATATTTTAATATTGATATCATGACGTGAGATTGATCCCCTTCGATAACGCTAGTTGAAGGAGCGATGTTCTACATAATTCTCGATATCGTCATTTTTATATATAAAGCTTGTAGCGATTAAAGAAAAATTCGTCGGAATCTAAAACTTCTTCGCGCTTCTGATAGACGTGCAGTCGCTACTCTTCGAGATAAAAATTAACGAGTAAAATTAGATTATCGCGCAAGAGGAAAGTATTGATTGTTCTCAGATTAAGGTGGAAATTAAGAAAGCTTAATCAAAATTATTAAACGGGCTTTTCTCAAGGCTTTACCTCGCTTTTAAAAATTCCCGGAACTTTAATTTCTTACAGAATGTAATATCATCTTCATGGACTTTCAAACTCGTCCAATAAGTAGAAGCATCTTTCTCCTACGATCAACGTATACGTATTCACGTGCGATATAATCGTACATTTTGCGTTTCCATAGACACGATTAACAATTTATTTCATTTTTTTGCTCATCCCTCGTCGTCACCGCCGTCACGTAAATATTATACTTCCCGCGTTGCCCGTCGAAAACGTCATCACTCTTGAGCGAAAGATTAACTGTCGCTCGTATCCTCGTGTTGCTCATCGTATATCCTTCGCTCACTCCCTTTCTCTCTTCCCTTTATCTTTCCCTCTCGCTCTTTGTGTCATCAAATCTCAGAACGGTTGCATTAGTTTCACAAACATTTGCCGGCTGTGCCTCCCCAAGAGGGTAGAAGAACGGAGCTTCGGGGTAGGAGGAGAACGGAGACACGGGAAAGTGCAATATTGAATTCCCGCAAGGCCCACGGGGTCACCGCCCTCCTGACAAATCTACGTCGCTGGGATCAGAGAGGTCCGCGCCGTCGTCTATATAAATTTAATAACACGAAATGACGTGACCTCCGAGAGAGACCTCGACCCCTTCTTCGGCGCGCACCAAGAACGCATCAATACTGCAAACCGCTTGCATCCACACCCTCGCCCGCGTGGTGTCCCACGTCGCCCATACCCCTCTCCCCCTCCGTGTACCAAGGATGCCGCTCGTAAAACTGATTTAAGATATACGACCGTCCGTCGTAGGAAAAGAAAAAAAAAATTGGCTTCCCGGCCGCGGTACGACGTGTTTAATGGAAACGGAGCGTCGTGGCTTTAGAGAGAGAGATATCTGCACGCCCGATGTGTGGTATATGAGATTCCGCGTCGTTACAGGGAAGAGGGGTTAATAAATGTTGCACGCTTCGTCGGCCTTTTCGCCAACGAGCGCACGCAAATGCTGGCGCGGCGTGTCTAAAAGGTGAGTCTCTCTCTCTCTCTCTCTCTGTGTACTATGGCAAAAATCTGCCGCGTGATATCGTTCCGTGCCTCGCCGATCGGCACGAGCGTGCTTTTAGAGTGCCAGTTGCGCATTTTTTTGTTGAAAGCCCGCGCGTACACAGAACCGGCGCGAAATGGCACTTTCGAACACGCATACTATGTGTCACGCGTTAAAGCTTCGGATCGGCGAAATGATAGTGCTTTGCTCATTCTCTTTTCTTTTCCCTCCGGGTATCTCTCTCTCTCTCTCTCTCTCTTCTTTTCTTCCCTTTCTCCTTTTGCTTTTTTTTAAATAATTGGAAACGTTATTGGCTGATTCCACAGCGACAATAGTACGCAAGGTAAGAAGCCGGCTCTGATTTCTTACTGAATCGTCTGGGTCGCGCGCGCGTTCCTCCGTTTGAAATCGATTTTCTATAATAAATACCTCCACTCGACCGGCGCCCCGGGTTGGTACTCGAGATCGCCCGCAGCACGGTGTAATTTCTCACTACGTCCAGCCGTTATGGATTATTTTATGCAAATGCGGAATTGAAAGTGGTACTCCGCGCGCACCGTCCCCCATCCCTACC